AATAATAATTATAATTATAAATAATGTTTATTGAAGTTATAAATATTTTTATTATTTATAACTTTACTAAACAATATTTCTGTATTATATTTTTTACTTTATATTTACAAATTTATTTTTATTTAAAAGGGTGTACCTGGAAACCCTGGACCTGCTGGACCAGCTGGAATTGCAGGAATAAAGGTAATCATAAGTTCTGCATATTTAATTAAAGTTTAACATATAATCTAAAAATTCATGAGCTGTTAATAAAATTCTTCTCTGCTAAAAGAATATTTAAAAGAAAAAAAAATTATAATTAATGGAGGAAAAAAATTTATAATAATGTAAATAAAATACCTATATACAGTAGAGTCCCAAAACCTCGGCACTCGATAACTTGGCCACACTCTGGCAGGGCAAAAAAATCCCATGTGCAAACCTGTTCATGGTCCCGCATTCCTTTGTCTTGCATCATACTCCCACTCTTCCACCACATGTCTGGTGCTGGCGTGCACTCAGCTGTTCAGTCTACCTGCAGCCTTTGCCAGGGTTAGTCGATTTCTTAACCCTGTTGCGTAACTCAATGTGAGTGACTGTGCATATTGTATTGTTCAGAGCTGTTTCAAAGTTTGTGGGTGCTGGACAGTACTCTGCGATGGCATCTTCGCAGAGTACTTCTGTTAAAGAAAACAAGTGAACTTGTCTATGGAGCAAAAGTTAACGGGCATTAAAGAGACTGGAAAAGGAAGAAAGTGTCAGTACAGTGGCTAAGGACGTGGGAGTTATCAAAAGTATGATTGGAGACTGGAAAAAGCAGCAGACGGAAATCAAGTCGTGGTGTGTTAATAGAATGTGTACAGAAACATTGAAAAAAGTGACTTTAATGATGTAAGTGAAGCACTTTACATTTGGTTTTGCCAAACAAGAGAGAAGGGCACACCAATTAGTGGGCCAATCTTGTAAGAGAAAGCCTTGAAATTTTATGAAGAATTTAAAAAAGACAACGATCCTAAATTTTTCGCAAGCAGTGCTGGCTGGCTTGATCACTGGAAGAAATGCTATGGAGTCCAGCAGCTTAGTATTTGTGGGGAAAAACTATCTGGAGAAACAGAGAGTATGTCTCAGTTTAAGGAAAACTTTCAGAAATTTATTGAAGCTGAAGGTTTGACCAGAGAGCAATTGTACAATTATGATGAAACAGGGTTAAATTATAAACTGTTACCAGCAAAAAGTCTTGCTTTCAAGGAAGAACAGTCAGCCCCAGGTTTTAAAAGGAGCAAGGAGAGGGTAACAGTCCTAGCATGCAGTAATGCAACAGGTGAGCACAAATTAAAGCTTGATCTCATAGGAAAATCAAAGAAACCACGTGCGTTTAAGCACATTGAAATGGATAAACTTTCAGTTTGGTACCGAAACCAGTCACATGCCTGGATGATCTGTGCAATTTTCAAAGAATGGTTCCAGGAAGTATTTGTTCCATCGGTTGAGCAGTTTTTTAAATTTAAAAACCTGCCAAGGAAGGCTATTCTGATTTTGGACAATGCATCTTTGCACCCAGACATTGAAGAGTTAAAAAATGGGGACATACAAGCAATGTTTTTACCACCCAATGTCACAGCATTATGCCAGCCAATGGACCAAGGAGTTTTGGTTAATCTCAAGAGAAGATATAGGCACAAGCTGTTATCCTGCCTTCTTTCTGCAAATGATGATGGTCAAAGTCTTATCCAGAACTTAAAGAAAATTAACCTATTGGATATTGTTGGCTAGGTGGCAGATGCCTGGAACTAGTTAGAGTCATTAACACTAGTTCGTTCCTAGCGAAAACTCCTTGATCGCAAGGGAAATGAGTTTGTTGAATATGATGATGCAGAAAATGTAAACTTACTTGACCTCCTGAAAACAGTTCCTGGATGTGCAGAAGCTGGAGAAAATTATGTCAAACAGTGATTCCAGAACGATACTGAGCAAGACATTATGTCCAATGCAGAAATTATTGCTGCTGTCACAGTTAATGAAAAAATGCCGGAAAATGATGAAGTTGTTGACATTGAGGACTCCACTGTACAAGCTCCTAAAATATCACATAGTAAAGGATTAAAGGCTGTCGAAACCGCCCTTCAGTATTTTCCCTTCAGTAACAACAAGGTACGTCGGTAATGGACTTACCATTCTTTCGTCATCTTCATGATGAAGCAGCAAAATGCAGAGTGCAATGTGGAAGACAACAGGTCATTGTGCATTTTTTTATAAAAATGTAGCCAATTTTTGCAATGTCGGCTTGTTAATTTTCATTACAGACAGCTTTATGCCTCCTAAAATATTTTTCTGAGGTCTGTCTTATCAGGTAAATTACTGTACACTGTATATTCATTAATTTTCATTTTCATGTAGTAAAGGCTCTATGCCTTCATAAAGTACGTACTTTTCCTTTGTGTAAGGGTATTTGAGCAGTTTATTCTCTGTTGTATTCTCAAGCAAACAATACATACAAGTACAGTACAGTATTTTCTGAGGAAACACTCTTACTTATTCTTTTTTAACCCCATTCCCAATAACTTGGCATTTTCACAAACTCGGATCACCCTTCATTCCACATTAGACTGAGTTTTCGGGACTCTACTGTACTTACTATAAAATTTTTAATATAATTTAAACATTACAGTTACTAATATTTAGATATAATTTTTTTATAACATTAAAAATACAGTTGTTTTTAATTGAAACTAAATGTATTTTAAAGGGTGCTCCAGGAGATGTTGGAAAAATTGGTGCAGCAGGTCCTTCTGGAAATCCTGGTCTTCCAGGATTCCCTGGGCCAAAAGGAGAAGCTGGAGCAGAAGGATCACCTGTAAGAAATGCTTTTATTTAAAGTATTTATTGTAAAACATTTAAATTTTACTTAAGTTTAAAATAAATATGACAACAATAAGTTATTTAAATTTACAATATTAGTTAAGAGACTTTAACATTCAACAAACAGGGTTTACAAGGGCCCCCAGGTCCATCTGGTCCACCTGGAGAACGTGGATTACCTGGAGTTCCTGGAGTTCAAGGACGTGTTGGCCCTCCTGGTCCCAGAGGACAACAGGTAAGAAATTTAACTTTGTCAGTTTTTTTAATATACAGGTATACCTTGAGTTACATCATTTCGAGTTACATTGTTCTCAATTATATGTTGTTTGTAAAAAAATTATATGAAAAAATAAAAATTAAGTTTGAGTCATTTTATTCAACTTTACGTCTGTCTGCCACAAATATTGAAGTTGTAATATTGTATTGTTCAGAGCTGTTTCAAAGTTTGTGGGTGCTGGACAGTACTCTGCGATGGCATTCCTTCTTAATTGTTTCCCTATTAATGTTGAGGCACAAAAATTCTTGTGATTATTATTATCCATCCATTAGCTATGTCAAGCCCATTTCATTCTGTTGATTTTAATTTGTTTGATATCAGATTCTTTATATAATCTATATTATTTATATAATCTATATTTTTAATTGATATTAATGTTCAAAAAAAAATATATTTTTCTTAGGGTGCTCAAGGTGCAAGAGGAGAACCAGGACCACCTGGACATAAAGGTGATAGAGGAGATCATGGATCACCAGGTCCAGAAGGTCCTGTTGGGAGACCTGGAGAACAAGGACCTCAAGGCATTGTAGGACCTGCAGGACCACCTGGGGAAGCAGGAGAAAAAGTCAGTACTTTAAAACTCAAATATGAAGTTCTTATTTTTTATCTTTTATTTATCTAAAATATTATTAATGTTATATTTAGGGTGAAACAGGACCTCCTGGTCCAGATGGACCTCCTGGTGGACCTGGAATACAAGGTGACAGGGGTCCACCTGGCCCTCTTGGTCAGCAAGGATTTCCTGGACCACAGGTAAGTTTATACAGTTTATTCACAATGCAACAATATGTTTTACTTTTACATATGAATTTAATTTAATAAATATCAATTTTAAATGCTTGTTGTTGAGTAAATAAAAATATCTTAGTTTTTAAGCTCTCTTGTTTTCCAAAAAAAATTCCTAACTCATATGTTTTAAAGTTAATGCAAAAAATTTTTAAAATAATTTGTAGTTTGTTTTAATAATTATCAAATGTANGGTTTACTAGGGAAGGTTAGTACCCAGAGTGGTTTCCCGTTGCCTTCTCTGGGGCGCGATGTTACGCGAGGGGAAAGAATGCCTTCCGGGAGGACTTTTATGGGGAACTGGCCTCCTATTTAGTCGTTATCGGCAAGGAGAAAACCCGGAAAACTCCAAGCAGCCAGCCTGTCCGATCGCGGCGCGAACTTACAACCGAACTCCCAGTGTTTAGGGTACGAAGACCGCTCAGCCACTGGTGGGCACTATGTATATAATATACATAATAAATTCATACTTAGGATTTCCCAATAGAAAACTTAATGAAGTGGTTTCTGTTTAATTTATGTTTACTTTATTGTTAAACTAAAGTATTTGGAACAAGTAAATAAGTTATTCAATTTAATAATTTTTTTAATGTTTTTAAACAAACTTGTTTACTATTTTTTATGCTTCACTACTGTTTTCATTTGAGAATTGATATTTTGGTAATTTTTGGAGAATATACATCACAATCCACGAAAACCTGTTTTTACAAGTGTTATGTCCGTAGTACACTCCAGTGTTAAGTTGTTGGAAGTCATTTGTCGTAGAATGTACATCAGTTAAGTGTATAATAAATTGTTTATATAAAAGTACATCATCAATAGCTATAGTTTTCTAGTTTATACTTTTTAATATTGCCTAAGTGAATTTTTTATGGTTTTTGGTCATACTCAGTTTGATTGAAATACTGTATCTGTATTTAACATCTTATGTGAAAAAATACTTTTATATAATGTTTGATTTATTTTATATATATTTGTTGTTAAACAATATACAGTGAAAGCTGGATTAAATGAATAAAACATCTGTTACTAGCATAGTAATAGGACTTTATTAATATATTTTTATTTTTATTAAGAAGATATTGCCTTCTCTGGGCAACGGACAAAAATTTCCTAGCCTTCATATTCTGCAAAATATCTGTTAAGCAAACAATCAATGGATCACATGACTATCATTTGAAGAAACCATGCTTATCTTTGGTCTTATCATTTTATAGAATTTTTTGTCCTCAAACTTGGCAAATAGTTTTTTATTTCCATTTTTAAATGCTACACTAACCTGACACTTTTTGGCTGAAACATTGGTGGATTAACACTGGAATTTCTCCCTTGTATAATAGAAGGGAATCATTAAGAAACTTGAAGAAGTTTGAGGAAAGAAAGAATAACAGAAGTAGAATGAATCAAATGAGTCATAGGATGGGAAAATTGGCAAACATCTTGCTTTGAAAAGTCTAGAGAACAGAATCTGTAACATTACCTTATCTAGCTTTGCAATAGTTTCAGACTAGATCTTTTCTAGATTTCTCTTAAATTAATCTGTTATTAATTTCTAATTGTTAAATTTAGTGTAAAATGGTACTTAACACTTCTAGTGCCAAATTATATTAGGTAATTATCAGGAAAACTAGATTTTTAATTTCAGAAATTTGTTGGCTATTTCTGAATTTTGTTCTTATCACACATTTTTTCTCCAAAAATTTGTATCTGTAATTAAAATATTGTTTATTTGCTAATTACATTATATGAAATTTAATTAAATGAATATATAAATTAAAGTTATATAATTGATTTAGTTTATTTAAATATTTATGTGTGCTATCGTTTTATATGAGATTTCGACGAAACACATGAAGAGGCCATCATTTATTATTGGGCTGCAATTTTTAAAAATTGTAGAACTATAAATTCCACTGGCATCCATCTGTCTGCCAGTCTGTCTGTCCTTTCTTAATCTTGAGAATGGAGTTACATAGATGAAAGTTTGGACCAGATATAAAAAGCTTATGGGCAGGAGACCCCAATTCATTATATACAAACTTCCAGTTTGTACCAGAAGTCATGTTATTTCAATTAAAAAATTTTCTTCTGAATGGAGTTAGATAGATGACTGGCATGACTGTATTGTTAACAGAAAAAGTATGATATACAGGGGCAAACTACTACTAAAATTGAGAGCAGTGTGACAAAAATTGCTGCCCAACATTGTGATGTTGTCACAATAAATAAATGCTCATAAAATAATATGAAAATATATTAGAAAGAAATTATTATTTTATCCTTTTTATTCATAAAATTAATTGGAATTTTAACAAAACAGTTTTTAATTTACAGATATCATTGATGTATAAAAACAAAAAGTAAAGAATTGTATTTTTAGCCTTAGAGAAATCAATGTTAACTTTTATATATTAAAATACTGTAATTATTTACCATATTTATTCAGATATAAAGTGCACTTTTTCTTACTAATTTTGTCACTGTAAAAATGCAAAGTTCCTTAAATTAGAGAATTTTTTTGGAGATGCAGTGCCATTCATAGGCTATTCTGCCTTCTGTCAATTTAAATATTTTATTTCCAGCTTTCAGGGAAGAATTTTCAAGCCATTACAACTTAATTACCATAATTTAACAGAATACACCATTAAACAATTTTCAATCCACATTATGAAGTACACTGAGAGCTATAAATAATTAGTTAAGATTAATTTTGTCACAAGTCAAATATTACAGCCATATCTACACAAATAACCCCGCATTTCTTTATGTAGCACTTGAGAAGCACTTTATAGCGAACACACTGAAACTGGTTTCTAATTGGCCAACACTGCTCGTGACATCATTTCGCTACACTCTCACTGTATAAAGAAACGCGGGGTAAATATTAGGTGATGACACAACATTGAGTCATTTACCCTGCACCAAGCCTTTGATCAATTTTAGCTTAGACTTTGGCATTGACAATACAAAATGAAATTGAAAAAGGTACCAGAAGTTCATTCTTCACAAGCAAATCAGATTTCATCCAATGCTTGGAATTGTTATGGCACTAAATTTAAAATTTTCATTGTAAAATATTGTGACCGAAGGGTCGGCACCTCTTTGGTGGTGTCATCCTGACAGGGCACCTCGCGGTGGTGTCATCCTGACAGGGCACCTCTTTGGTGCCCTGTCAGGATGACACCACCGCGTCTCGGCGGACACGGAAGCCGCGTTATTTAGGTCACGCGAGCGGTCGCGTTACGGAGCGATCAGAGTCGAGATAGAAGGAGAGACAACGCACCGGAAGTGATTTACTCAGACGCTTTTTAACGTAACAACTGTTTAATGGTTAACGATAGGCTATACATTAGGGCTGCTGTTAGATACATTACTCGCTTTAGTATATAATAGTATTAAGATATTAAGATATTACGTTTCTTCCCGTTTTGAGAGAGAGAGTTTACAGAAGTTTGCGTGTCGATAGTTACCTTGTATGAACTCCCAAAAGAAGACAGTTCCGGACTCAGAAAACAGAAGACACAGTTATTAGGCGTGGAAATATCCAAAGGCGAAGAAATATCCAAGGGCGAAGAAATATCCAAAGGCGAGGCACAGGGATAACTTTAGTGGTCCGAACGAGGAACTGGTGACGACTGACTCACTTTGTTGTTCTTCCCTAATGTTGAATTGTTAAAATCGCTATACTAGGTCGAAAGGTGATGAGAAAGCATCGTTATTACGCCTGAGAACTTAGCAGATGTTTAGCTCCCAGGTGTAAAAGTTGACAGTTATTGAACAAAAGTATAGCTATACTGTGATCTTATGACACCGTGAAATGAAAGTAGGACTACAATGTGATATTATGATGAGATGATATAAACACATCCAAATTCGGATCCTCACAATATGCCATTTTAAAATTTTTTGTTTTGAAAATCGGCTAAAAAAGAGGTTATGTTATATTTTAGGAAATATTTTTTCCTGAAAATGGGTGCCAATAATAGCCATGTATCCTACATTTAGGTGCATTATTTTGCTTTTATTCACATAAATGCAGTATTAACAAATCTATCAGACTCTTTATAAGAAAACCATTATTCTTAAAGCTTTTATTTCCTATGTGTATATTTATATAAACATTCAACTGTATTAAAACAACATAAATAAATAATTTTAAAGAGTTTAAGGTTAACTGTTTTCAAATGATAAAATTTTAAATCTTTTTAACTGCAGTTATCTAAAAATTTATTTAAAACTTTTTTCAGTGAAGTTTATTGTGTAATTTTTGAAATATCTTTTGATACTGAGAACTACTATTATGAAAACATTAAAGAAATTAAGATTTATTAAATTATCATCATTATTCTTGTATAAAGTTTACAAGGATAATTGAATAAAAGAAATTATATGCTTATTTGAATGATTATAGATAACAGTTTATTATAAATTTTATGTAAAGAGTTTTACATTGGTCTTGTGAAATTTAAGAAGACTTTATTGTTATAATTAGAAAATGTTTTTTGTTTTTAATTTTAACTTTTCTTATATTATATAATAAAAATAGAAATATACATATGAAATGTTTTTAAATGTAATATTTAAATTTTTTAAAATAAGGGTCATTCTGGAAAAGAAGGACAGCCAGGAATTAGTGGACGCCCAGGAGATAAAGGACCACCAGGACCTCCAGGCTTACCAGGTGCTGCTGGTATTCAAGGTTTACAGGTAATATATACATTCTTAAATTGTTCACAGTAAACTTATTTAAAATCTGTCCTGATTAATTTTGCTAATTTAAATACAGTATACACCTATCTATTTAAATTTAATTAAATTAGCCAAATTATATAGATTGTACCCTACAGCAGCATTTCCCAAACTTTTCCTACAACAGAACACTTTACAAATCGTAAAATTTTAACAGAACACCTTGGCTATTTTGTAGGATTTACTAGGTAGCTATATAAAATAAATGAATAAATCTAAGCTGCCTAGCTTTTGTGCATTTAAATCTTGTTGATTGCTTCACTGTCTTTATTATGTTATCTCTATCCTTCAAGATTGTCAAAACAGTCAAATCCCTCAGGTCCAATTCATGTGCTATCGCTTTAACTTTTTTTACTAGCTTCGTAGTTGTTCATAATAAGCATTTTCATCTCAAGGTCAATAGCCTTTCTTTGGTCCTTGGTACTTCCTGCAGGTGAAATCATGCTCTTCTTTTTTGCTGGCATGTTGTAGTATGGTGTGCACAATAAAGTACAAATTTATAAACAAAATTTATAATCTTGGAGACAGGGCAATGGCTAGAGCATTTGACACGTTTTGGATAAGCCATTCATTAGTCTGTTACAAATTTAAAAATCTTAAAAAGCACTTTTTATTAATATAGTGCAAAATAGTGAAAAAAAGATTGGAACACACAAAAGTAAATGTGAATTGTGATGTAAGAAAATTACTAAATTATGTCAAATAATGTAAAAACAATTGTAATAAGAATAATTTGATAAAATGTTTAGTAACAAAAATTTAATAGTTTAAATAAATCAGATATGTCATTATGTAATAACATATAAAATCAAAAATAAAACAGTTGAAAGTATTAATGCCAAAATAAATACTAAATAAGGAATAATTATAATAATAAAAAATGTTCCAGGTTCATATTAATTTTGATAATTTTTCTTGGAATAGTATTCACTTTCTGTAGAACACAGTTTCAGAAACACTGTCCTACAGATACAGAATATCTCTCTGGGCAATGTTTTTCTAATAGAATTCTTTTTGCTTTTATATCCAAACTTCATGAATGTATGTAACTTTCATTACAACATTTTTCAGCCAATATAGGAAAAGTTTAAGTCTAAAAACTCAGTTCAGTTCATTTTTTTATATGTAGGAAAAGTGTTGAATTACATTTCATATACAAATAGTAGAATGTTAGCATCACATGTATCTACAAAGGAAATGTGTATCTTGGATGTTGCTGATTCTAGGAAAGTCATTAGAATGTCATCCCAATATCTCTTATAATAGAAGTCTGAACACACTTTTATGATGTCATATTATTTTTTTATTGTAAATTTTTGTTGGCATTTTTTTTTCTAACAGATTTCTTTATTGCTATATATTATTTGCTGTGCTCTATTCTAATGTTTATAGTATGGCATGAAGACTATGTATTATTGTAAAACTGTTTGTTATTATCTATTATTTATGTTATATTATTTTTGAAATACTCATATATTGTATTAAGATATTAAAACTTTTTAGGGACCAGTTGGACCTACAGGACCTTCAGGATTACCAGGAGAACGTGGTGATCGAGGTGAAACAGGTCCAAGAGGTGTGCCAGGACCTCAAGGTCCTAGAGGTCCTGCTGGACCCACTGGAAATTCTGGTATGAAAGGAGATAGAGGTTTCCAAGGTGAGCAAGGTCCTAAAGGTCATCGAGGACTAATAGGTCTACAAGGATTACCTGGACCACCGGTAAGTAATAATGAAATAAATTTAATTTGCAAATTTTAAGTGTCAAGTGTTTCATTACTATTTTATTCTAGGGTATCCCTGGTGATAAAGGAAATGTTGGACCGCCTGGTCCAATTGGCATGGAGGTAAATGGAATTTAATACATATACACTATTTATTGCAATATTTATTATTTAAAGATTGATAAATTTTATAATTAAATTCTTGTTTGATTTTCAATATACATGTTTTCTATTTAAATAAAAAGTATATATATTTGTAAATAAAGCAATTGCTTTACTTTGTCTTTGTCCTTGTTCTTTGTTTTCTGATTATTTTCTGTCTAATTAAATAAAATTACTATAACCATAATTATTCTGTTTATAATTTTTTCTTTATTAATTAACAGTAATAGAGAAAAATTTTACTAGATTTAAGATGTATAAAAAAAGAAGTGATTTTGCAAATCAATCATTTATATAATCTTTGCCAAAATATTCTCAGCCTAATTCTGTTTTTGCTATTATGGAGAAAAACCAATAATTGCCAAATACTTCCCTTTATAAATATCAGGTTGTAAAGGTGAAATTTTTTAGAAATGACTGGAAAAAATGTTCTAGAACGTTCAATATGAGTATAAAAGTAGCATAACAAAAGGGCATTTAATCATGTATTTTGTTGGAAATAGACACATCAGCAATGTCTGAGAATATGAAAACTTTCAAAACATGTTCATGTACTGTTGCTTTATTGCTTCAAAAGTGGCCACAACATAACAAATACTCATAATCTCATCTGCAAGGCATTTGGTAAGGACATAGTCAGCAGGCAGACCTGCTACAATTAGTTCAAGAAATTCAAAGATAAAGATTTCTTGCTTCAGGATGAACCCCATCCAGGCAATGATTCCATCATTGATGATGACATTCTCCTGCAACTGATAGATAATAGTCCATGGTGACCACCAGAGAATTAACTCAACTTAAGTGTTTTCATATACTCCAAAAATTGACAAAGTGGATACCACCATGACAACACACCAGCACATAGAGCAAAGATTACCTTAGAGAATCTAGCCAGTCTCGACTGGGAGGTTATGCCTCTGTGGCAAATGCCTGTACCCTTAACCGTTGTAAAATACAAGCAATGACCCCCGGGTGTATGAGTCATCACTTCCTGCAATAAATTCAAACTCACTCAACAAGGATCATCAACCACAGTTGTCTTTGTTAGCCATGTTGTCGAGACATGTGCAGTACCAAATACGCAAGAAAGACAATAAAATCAGTTTTGGTTACGATCTCATCTCGTTCGTTTCTTTCACTCACAGTGATGAAAGATAAAAGCAACCATAACCAAAACCCACACCTCATCCACTTTATAGCCCAGACTTGGCACCAAATCATATTGCCAATATACAATTCAATGATCATACCCATGTGAGAACAACGCTCAAGACTTTCTTCAAAGAAAAACCATGGTGATTTTTATGCTCATAGATTGAATGATTGAAAGTTTGCAGCAGAAGTGGTGAAATATGACTACCTACAAGACTGAACTTTGTTAATTCAAAATGTCTAAATTTTACCTTTATAATCTGATATATATTACAATAGATTAAGTATCCTGGATATTTTCTTTTTATGTAAATGGAAATTTTACACAAGAAAACTAGGAAATTTTTTATGGGTGGTCTATCCCAGATATATTGGGCCCTGTTCTTTACCATCTTGCTGCCCCATTTTAGGCCTAGCTGAACCCATAATGGGTTTGGTGAAAAGGTCCTCTTAGTGCCTAGAGTGGAAAGAGTTAAAATATATATATTTATATATATATATGTATATACACAGTAGTGGAACCTGGTTAACTTGAATCAGAATAACTCGAAGTAATTTTCTTTCCCTGATCATCTAGTATAGGGACTTAGGGATACATGTTAAATCAAACTGTTAACTCAAATGGGGTTTTGATACAGTGTTTTCATAATTTCTTCAGAATTTTAATTTTCCATTAAATAAAATAATTAATTTCCATCTATCAAATAAACTAATCAAAAACTTTCTATAAAGTGTGGGTACCATGTACAACTAAAAGTAAACATCATGTCATATGATGGCATGTGGGGGAAAGTGGCTTCCAGATAGCATGTGTGACCTAGATACTGTAACTGGCATTTGAATCTGCTTTTTTCCAAACATTTTTTTTTTTTTTTGTTTTATTTTATTGATGATGCAATTCTCTGATTAGTTGACATAATAAATAAATGGATTTTTGATAAATTAATTTTAAAAAATTATTATAATCCAATTCTATGTAAAAATTTTAAAAATATAACAATTTTAAAGAGTGATATTTTGGTGATTAAAAACAAAACAAAAGAAGATTATTCTAGGCATGAAATATTGCAATTTAAAAAATTCCTTACTAAACACTTAGGAATGAATGGATCAATCATTTGGGAAAGCATTTCTCAATAGCTTATTTAACCATTTGATTTAAGCATTTTAGAGTTTCTGGACAACACTGAGAGGTTTACATTGACACAATGATTCTACATAATAATACCCATAGAAATATCATATAGATAGTTTATTATAGGTCACCAATAAACTGATGCACAAAATCTTGATTTTTAGTCAAACTTCCAAAATCCAAATTTTATTTTTCCTGACTGATTTGAGTTAACCAGGTTTCACTGTATGTTTTTCTTAAATTTAAAATATGAATTCAAATTTGTTTGTTGTTTCCTGCTTGATGAAAGATCATCAATGTCACAATAAAACTCAATTAAAAATTAAAATTAAGTATGCTTTAGGGTTCTCCGGGTATGAAAGGACCACAAGGTAGAGATGGAAGTCCTGGTCCTCCAGGCATTCCAGGACCTCCTGGACCACGTGGACCAAGTGGAGATTCTGGTAAACAAGGCCCACCAGGATCACCAGGCCCTGCTGGTCCACCAGGACCACCAGGTGAACCTTTTGGTTATGATGCAAATGCAATAGCAGCATTATTAGGTCAAGGACAAGTAAAGGTAATCAAATTTTTCAGTTTTTCGTTTTTTCATATGCATATTAATTATGTAAGACTTAGACATAATTGACAGTCACACCAATTCCTGCTTTATTGGAACATTAAAAGCATTTTTCAATAGTTTAAACAAACTTTCATTTATATTAATGGTTTGTAGCATATAACACTAGATGCAAATCGTACTAGCTTGAAACTACTATAGACTATTAAATAATATTTTTTGTGTTTCAATAAGCAAGAATTGTGTAATTATTGTTTGTCAAGAATTGGAAATTATATTGGATGTAGAAATAATGTTTATAGAAATCAAAAAATGACACAGTAAAATAACAAATTGACTATATTGTCCCAAACAAATATACAGTCATTATTAGTTTTTTATTAATAAAGAAATTTATTGAATTTCCTATTTAGATTTGAGAAGCAAAGAAATTAAATTTGATTTTCATTTTTATCTTTTATCTTGCTTACATCTTACAAACTATTATCAGAATTGTTTTAACTTAAGCATATATGTACTGTACATATTAAGTTTTATTAACAATACTATTGTATATTAACCATGACCTTCATTAACATAAATAACACAGTAAAAATGCAAATGCATGCATTAATCAATTGAGATTCCATTATTTCCCATCCAAGATTAGTTTTTGCCATTCTTTTCCTCTTTCAAAGTTGTTTCTGGCAAACTGTAATCAAAGTTATTTGTGTTTCTCCTTGAACTTGTTATAATAAGTTAAATTAGTTCAAGAATTTAAATATTGAAGTTAAAAAACATTTTGGTATATAAATGGTAGTGGTAAGGATTACATTAATTTGTGTTGCTTAATAGTTGTGACAAAACTAATTATATAAAATATCAGAAGACAATTGATTTGAAGTTAGATAAAAGCAAAATAATTTTATATTTTTAGAAGTTTTTATTTTTAATAAATCGAATTTACAGTAGAATCTGCTTATTGTAACCACTGTTGGATTTACCTACACTATGATAACTAATAACATTATTTGAGGTACATTAATAATAATTTTCAATAATTGTATTAATTTTCACATGTTAAAAGAACATGTTAAAACAATTAAAAAAATGTATAACTTGTAAGATTTGTTAATTAAATGCAATCACATATTTTTAACTTTTAATTTAAAATGTTAAAGTGGAAAAGTTTAAATTAATTAATATTCTTTGTTTATTCCTTTTAAATTTTATTGTAATAAATTAATAGTAATATTGAACATTTAAAAAATATTTTTATGTATTAAACATTTTAAACCAGAATATATTTAAAAATTAGTTGTATTTTATTGATTTTTATTTTTAGAAAATAATCTTGACTTACCAATTGTTGATATTCATTAAAAAAATAATTAAATATAAGCAAGATATTATTTTTAATTAGAAAAGTCCTGAATTTATATTATAGAAGTTTTTGAATATATTTTATTTTCAGGGACCAGATCCCCTACTAGGTGATGAACCAGCAAAACTCTTTTCACCCGAAACACCTCTTGAAGAAAAAAAGAAACTCGTATTTGAATATTATGATAAATTGGTTCAAGAATATGAAGAATTCCGAAAACCATCTGGAAATAAGGATACACCCGCTACAACATGCCGTGATCTTGCTGTCGCAAGACCAGAATTGCCTAGTGGTAACATTTTTTAAAATAAATAAAAAATAATTAAGTTATGTAACATATCATGATTTTACAATACAGAAAAAATAATAATTGATATTTTCATTTAAAGTTCTTCAAAAACAAAAGTAAAGTTTTTATACATTTAGTATTATTCAACAGGTATGTATTACGTGGATCCTAATCAAGGCGATAATATTGATGCAATTGAAGTCTATTGTGACATGGAAAAGAGGGCAACTTGTATTAAAGCCAAACCCGAACAAGTAATATATGAGATTAATATTTTTTCTTTATATTCTTAAATTAAATTGAATTTATGTAATACATGTGAAATTTTAAATTATTATTTTAATATTGATTAAATAGATGTTTTAGAAATAATTGTTTTTAGCTACTTAAGCAGTCATCTTTAAATAATCTAAATATATACAAAAATAAATAGTGAAAATACAACAGAATTAAAAATCATTAATTTATTTAATGATTTATATATACTTGTGGTATCTATAACTATGAAATAGTATAAATACAATGTGTATAAAGAAAAACAATACATTTTTTGTCTTTTGCTCTTATTGAAAATTCAGTGGAAGAATGACTCAATCAAATTCTGTGCTGTAAAATATCATATCAAATATGATTTACATAAATTGATCTAAATTATATGAAAGTTATCAATATAAAGATTGCAAAAATTACTTCAATATCTTAGGTAAAGAATAATTTCTTTCTCATGTATACAGTACTTCTTTCATAATTTTATTTTATCTTTTAATATTTATATTTTTCATTTTATTCAATGTGTAATATGTACACATGTATATTGTTTCAACTTCCAGCAAAAATTAAGTCAGCTGGATTAATCTAGGAAACAAGTTTTAAATGTTGATCTTAATTTTAAAAAAGTTGAAAAGTAACTATTTATATTGTTAATTTGAAATGAGTTTGTATCCCCACACTTCCATACACAGTATAAATATTTACTTTTATTTATTTCTTACAGTTACTACAAAGAACTGTTTATTTAAGGAGCCAAAAACATTTGTTACTCAAAAATTAAATTCATGGGACTTAACTAATTTAATGAATAAAATATAACAAATAAGGATTTCTTTTTACCATTTTTGCATCAAATATATATATATATATATTTTAGTTTGTAATAAAGTTTTTTGTTTGCAGAATGTAATACTTGGAACAGTATGTAAAATTTTTAAACTTCTTGAGCTCTAAAATAATTTGACATTTCAAGAATCAAAATAACTGTATATATATATATATTTTTATTTGTTTTAACTTAAATTTTTTAAGTTAAAACAAATAAAAAAGTCATTAAGCGATTAAATGATTAAAAATTGGTATTGTATTTCAAATTTTAGGCATTTAAATATTGGTAGTTTAAAAATAATTAAGTTTTTTTTTACTTAAGTAATATTAATATTAATTTCAACGCTAGTTTGATATATTAACATATTTAGTACTTCATTTAAATTCTTTCAGAAAAGTTTTAGATAAAATTTCTATAATTTCTATACTTTTAAAATAGCTAATATTTGAAAAGGATGAAAATAACTTTCACAAGTAATTTCTTAGGTAATAGTAATGTTTAAAATGCATAAGAATTACTAAGAAATGACTGAAATTTTTATATTTTTCTAGGTATTTTGATGATTTTAACTGCTTTTATTCATGTTTGATTTCAATTTGGGAATAACTTGAACTGTTGTTCTCAAATGAGATGAAATTTTTTTAGATAATATTTAGTTATCAAAAAATGTGATGAATGTTTTCAGATCTTTTAAAAATATTTTTTCTTTGTATTGACATCAAATACATATTTTGACAATTATCATCATCAATATATACCATTTACACGTATTTTGACCTTAGATATATGAGATAAGTCTCTTGTACATATTTTTATTCTCTAGGCTAAAATAAATTTTGTTTACTGACAATCAGTTCAACCAAGAGAATCTCTAATGTCATTTGTTAAGCTTTTGCTACAAGCACAAAATATGAGTTCTGAGTTTTTGAAGGCTTATGATAGATATTTGCTTGACTTTGTGAAATAAAGCAAATAATATATGGGAATAAAACCATCAAAAAATGTCTATGCAATATTAACTTATTGCACAGAATTGTTTGATGGTTTTATCCCTGTATTTTTCATGTTTTCATTGCATTTTTTTCTCTGCTCCATTTAGTATTTAGTATATTATAAGAAAAATAATTTGATCTTACTCAATAATCAAAGATTTGATGAATTTTTTAAATGTCAGACAGAACTTATATGGCCAATAATTGTTAAATATGTTTAATTAAATTACTTTGAATAATTGCTAATATCAGTTTAAACTTTATTCTAGACATCGAAGAAAACTTATTATAGGGGAAAGAGCCAATATACTTGGTTTAGTGAGATGGAATCTGGATTTATGGTAAGAAAACATTATTAGTCAATAACAGAAATTTATAATTAATTAATTTTTGCAGAAATGTTTAAAATTATTCACAATTATCAAAATTATAAGAAAATAATATATTACATATGTTGTATTTTAATTATTATGTGCAATTTGGCCACCACTGACATTGATAAGTCATAGGTAGGTGGGCCACAAATATTTTGTAATAGTATATTTATGTGTTTCAAAAATAGGCCTATTTATATCATTTATAAGTGATTCATCAAACATGTTTGTGAGCAACATTTGGTCAGGGGCCATAGCTTGGACACTACTGATCTATACCATAGTATCCATGAAATAGGCTAATGTGAAATAATAAATATTGCATAAACTATTTCTTATGAAATCTAAATAAGTTCAAAGTATGTTTAGTATTCAATTTTGTTTTTAAAATGAGCTAGAATTGTTTTACAAATTATATCAAGAAAAAAATTTTAACATGTTGCAAAGTGCAACTATAAAAAAAATTGTTTTGATAAAAAATTGCTTTAAATATTGTAGTAAATAGATAAATATTGAAATATATTTTTAAATACTGTATATTTCTGCAGATAAGATGATAAAAAAAGGCCCCAAAATCCGGGATCATTTTATAGGACAGATACAAAAAAAATTAGACCATTATAAAAAAACGATCAAACCATAATTATTTATTAGTAGAGAGTAGGGTATGTTCATAAAATAGAATAGCCCATATGACATTTTGTGAATATTGAAGGTCATTATCTGATTGCTGGAATCAGTGCGAATGTTTGCAACAATATAGCAAGGCAGTGCTGCCAGATGCAAGAAAATAAAATTTGTTTATTCGAAAAATTACAAATAGGATATAATTCCGTATACGCTATCCAGATGATGATTGCTGATCTAAACTAAATTCATAGGCCGTTGATAGTTTGGGGGTCATCTTATAGAACAGATATATGCTAAAACTATAAAACTCTGATGAAAATTTATACCTTGTCCTATCTGAAGATCTTCTTATCTGCAGAAATATATGGTAAACATTAAAATATAATTTTAAAATTGAACTTAATATTTATGGCTTTGTTTTTGACTTTCTCTCCAAATATACTGCTGTAAAATTTAAAACAATTGAAATTATGAAAATGTTTGGCATCATTGTTAGAAGTTAATATCTGGCTTAGATCTCCAAAAGATGCCATCACTATATCTCTTATATGCGATTATCTCAGGGAGGAATGATAATAGAATTTGATGTTTTATGCTGCATATCACTAATTTGCATAGGTCACCTGATAGGGGCCCATAGATACTCACTATTTCTGTAAGTAAATTTTGTTATATTAAAAAAAAAAAAGAGTAACATAGCATGTGTGGTAATTCTAAAATTTGATGATGGTGTGCAGGGCTTTTAACCATCTGGAATAACCAATCGCTTAAGGCACAGAAGCAAAGCTCTAATTTAATACATGGATATAAGGATACAAAATCTAAAACAGTGTTGTGCTTGTTATTTGTTAATGCAATGTCTTGTAATTCTACAACCAGATCTTGCACTAGACATCTTTATCTCAACACCAGAGAAAACTCTTCCTAACCTGTTACCGGTGCGTTCTCCTTCTATAAAATCGTAACCAACAAAATAGCTCTTTACTAACATTTTCAAACCCCAATGACGGTTCTTCTTCAGGTATTTTAGAATCTCTGATGGAAATGCAGCTCATAAAACATCAAATTCGAAAATATCTTCAGTATATTAATTAAGAACACCTTTCCAATCTATAAAAATTTAGGAAATGCTNGTCTGTCCGCCACAAATATTGAAGTCGTAATATCACTAGAAAAATGTTTAAAGCACATAAAATCATATTAAAATATATACATTTACAAGTATGTACTGTATTTACAGTACATGCATTCGTAAATTTAGATTACTTTTTTCTGTACTATATTAAAAACTAAAATTTGTTTGTAAGCTTAAAATAGATCCTTATTAACCATACATTATTAAAAATGCATTAATAAATAAAATTCAAAATCGGAATTGGCAATTTATGGTTTAGCCTAGTGACAAGTAGATTTGTAGACAAGTAAATTCGACTTACGTCGTTTTTCGACTTAAGTCGTTCTCCTAGAACCAATTACCGACGTAAGGCGAGGTATACCTGTATATATGTAAACTAATTTAAAATGATCATTTCTTCCATAATATTGGTTTGATTAAAGAAAGTCTTTGATTATATTTAATACTAATAAATTAAAAAATTAGTATTAATTATAACCGTTAATATTTGTAATTTATTAATTACAAATTTAAACTAAATTATGGAATGAATTACTAATAACTGCATAGGAAATTTATTATTGGCAAGTGATCAGTTAATAAACTTTTTATAAACTATTTCCTTCCTATTATGTTAGAAATTGCCATGTTTAAACCTTGTAAGAGTCTTACTTTTCCTGAAAAATTTTCAATTACATAATAAACATGTATATATTTCCAAAAAACTACATGATGTATACCTATAATGAAGAATGTAATGAATATTGGGATTATTAGATGTTAAGCCAAATACTAAAAAGAGTTTGGTTTGGTGGAATATTTCAGTATTTCTCTTATTTGATATGTAATATTTGTCTTTGGGTGTGTAACATAAAATTTCTTTCTTATATTCATTAACTTACTGGCAATTTTGGAGCTAAATTAAAAAAATGTTATCACTGTTCCTGTTCCTAGATAATATTTGTACTTTAAGTTTTGCATTATTAAACCTCCAATCTAATATGCACTATACAATAGTGTACTTATTGTATAGTACATATGAAGAACCAATGTTTGTAGTCTGTAGTCTGCAGTTAGTTTACAGTCAAACCATATTAGGAGATAAGTTGATAAGATCACATTAATTACACCTATCATTATTTATGGAAAGTCATAGTGGTTTTAGTAATTTATGATTATCTGAAGTTGGTTGTAAGACCAAATGAAATATCATCAGACAATAGAAATCATACGTAATGACTGCTTTTAAAACAAAAACAAAAAAAAAACAGTTTGTTTTAGAAATCAAGATGTCTTTACAAAGTAATCTGAATTATAGGAGGATATTTCAGTAATAAAAAAACCAAAAGAATGGTTACAAATAAAGAATATATTTTTGTTTTTTTTAAATTGAAACCATGCACAAATGAATTTCCAGTATTTGTTACAGTATTTAATCCAAATTTTTATTATATCACTAGATAGATCTATGCAATAAGTCCTTTAGATCAGTGGTTTCCAAGTGCTACCACCCCTTGTTGCAATATAGAAGCCACACTGGTTTGCTTATTTTTTATTAATAGATATGAACTACTCATAACTACAGAATCAATGGCACAAATTATTGTTTGAGAATTATCCATTTTCTAGATCTTAAACAAACAGTCATCATTCCTGCAACAAACCAATACTCTCCAGATAATCATTTGTGTGTACTGTACATGTATGCTTGCCATGTGAAAAACACTTTGGCAAAAGGCAATTATTTGGCATTCAGTGAATACTGAATATGTGGAGCCACTCTTAATCCACTAAAATATGATATAAAGATATTTTCTGACATTTTTTCAAGTATTATAGTTTTTAATTTTATTAACACATTCCTTTCGACTTTGTTATTTGTGTTTACTCTGAATATATCTCACATTAGTTTTTTTTAATATTTTACTTCTGTTTATTTTAATTAGATAAATGTATTTTTTAAGAGCAATTAAAAAATAAACATATGCTATATGTTTTTCTTTTACAGTTTACATATGCAGCTGATAGAGTACAAATGACTTTTCTGCAATTGCATAGTAAACAAGCCGAACAGAATATTACATATCACTGCCGTAATTCTGTTGGATATTATGACGAAGCGAGAAGATCATTAAAGAGAGCAGTTAAGTTAATGTCCTACAATGATTTAGAATTGATAGCAGAAGGCAATGCCATGTTTACTTATGCTTCTCTAGAAGACAGCTGTCAGGTAAGTAAAAATACGTTTTTCTATTACAAATAATATACATTAGGAAAATAATTTCATGTATTTTTAATATTTTACTATGCAGCATCGTTCAAATAAATGGGCCAAGACTGTGTTACAATACAAAACTGACAAGCCACAACGTTTGCCAATAGTAGATATTGCACCCCGTGATATTGGTGCTAGAAATCAAGAATTTGGTATAGAATTAGGACCAGTCTGCTTCTCCTAGTAAAAAATGAAAAATTAAATGACTTTTTATTTTAATCTTATATGTGTTTTGTGTTGAGAAACATTTATGTTTCATTTCTGCTGCATAAAATGTCATTTTTGAAAAGATTGCATTTTGTTTGTTGATGTAGTACACTGTACTTGTTTTAGTGGTACTTCAAAATGTAAGAGACCAGATGAATCACTGCCAATGTAAATGATGTTTGATTTCTCAGGCATAAATTTGATCTATTATCAGTCCTACTACTGCTCAGTGGGAAAAACACACTGCCATTTTCTTTGCTCTACTTTCACATATTTTTTTAATTCTCTTTTCAAAATTAATGTAAACTAGTCATTATATTGAAATTATTGAAAACACTTTAGCACTAAATGCCTGTCTTTTGGAAAATAAAAAAATAAATTAATTTAATAATATCAAAATTGAGTCATTAATAATATTTCAAACTTTGTTATTTATATATATTTTGTTAATAACTGTTTCTTTAAATAAATATTTAAAATTGTATGCTATGGATGAATATGTTTATACAGTATTAAAATTGTTTCCAAATTGCAAGTGATATTTATTATAATATCACTAATAAAATGAAAATTAATATACACAGAATTTTTTAAAGAAATATTTTATTTTTCATTTAAATAATTCTGAAAAAATTAAATTTCTATATAATATAAACACAGTATTTTTTATGCATTGTGATAGTTGTATACAATTAATAAAGACAATTTTTATATCATTAAGAAAGATTTAAATAAAACTGTTGAGTAACTATCTTTTTAATACCCAAAGTAATATTAAAGAAATAATAATTTATTATGTATAAAATTAAATAATAAAATTGTTAGTATAATCATCAGTATTTTGGAAAAACAACTCTATTAGAATAAGCTATTTAATTACAAATAGAATAAATTGATAAATAAATAGAATAAAACAATCTACATTCAAGAATCCAAAACAAATGAAATTCAGAAATGTTTTTGATATATTTGATTTCCCAAACATTTTAAAATATAGAATTCATTAAAATAAGTTCTAAAATTCTATTCAACACACAAATTTAATCAAATTGAAATTTCTGATTTTAATTCAGATATATTAAATTCTAGTTTTTAGTGAAAATTCATTTCTGTGTTTAAAAGTTACAAATTTTTACTCTTTTTTTCCTCTATATTCTTTTTCACTTTTGGATTTATTTTTTAGAAAATTAGAATTTATTCTCAAATGTTGAAGAGAGAGCCTTTTAACCATTAATAATAGATGGTAACTAATTTTGATTTTTATAAGCAATTTCTTCAATACAATATCTTTTATAAATAGGAATTCAGATAATATGAAACTATATGTGATATGTGATATTATGTAATACACAGAAGATTATTAGATAAATTTTTATTTCATTACTGAGCTTATAAAGACATAGATTTATTCATTTTCATTCCTAGGTAGTAATTATTATTTCAATGCTTTTTAAGATAAAATATGAATCAAAATAAAATTAAACAAGAGTTATTAACATTTTTGTCTTTTAAATTTTTTTGTTTCTCTTCAAGAAATAAATTCTTCCTACAGATTTTTCATAGAAGACTTACTAAATTATTTCTTGAAAAACTGCAATGGACATTTGTTTTCAGCATAAAAAAAAGATAAAAACAGACCTATGGCCAGATAATACCAAAGATGGCTGGGTGGCCAAGGCAGTTAAGATGTTGGTCTTCCATTCTGGGGTCTCAGGATCAAATCTAGGAATTTTGCAGAGGATAGTCTGTCTGTATACATCAAACAGTACTGCACCATCTGCTTGCCTCCATCACAGCCTGACCAAACCCACAATGAATATAGAGAAAATGGCCCTTCAGAAAATGAAGAAAGGGATAAAATAAAGATAATACTAAATGCTGGATAACTGAAAAATCAACTTTTACAAGCATACAAGCATACATATGTTAATTTTGTTTAGTTTTAAGTTTCTACTGTATTTAGTTTATACAAAATATCATTCATAATGATTAATGTCAAATTCATAAAAGAATAGCAACAATCTGTCAGCACTATAAAGCTTAATTCTTTCAATTCTCTTGTCTCAGTCTTGGGAATTATATATTTAACATAAAAATAATGTCTGTACAGTATATTTAATACTTGTTTGTGTATCAAAACACATTATTTCAGTGATTTAAAAAAACTTGTTTGAAATTCTTTTTGGTAGCTTTATTTTAGAATATTCTGTATTCTTGATACAAAGAAACAATACATTTCATTATTACTAATTTTATTTAATAAAATGATTTTTTCTATCGTCATGAAATTCAAATGGGGATTCAACATAATGCCTTCTTAATTTTAATTCAATAAATAACTTTTAAATTATTCTAAACTAGAAAGAATTTAGCAAATTTAGGTACAGTCGATCCCCCTATAAGATCATTGATTTTTCCGTTTTATCTGAATTACATGTTGTACGAGTCACTTAGATTTTACAAATATGTGAGCCGTTCACAGCCCGGCACACGTATTTGTAAAATCTAAGTGACTCGTACAACATGTAATTCAGATAAAACGGAAAAATCAATGATCTTATAGGGGGGTCGACTGTAGAATTATTATATACTGTATTATTAAACACCAATTTTCTTAGTAATTTTCAATGAAGTAGTTTCTTATTTTGTAATAATTTCAGTTTTCAGGAAGACTTTTTAGATTAATATAGGAAATGAAAAAAGTTCTAGTTATAACTATGAATCATTTATAACTTGGATATTATTATTAATAATAATAATAATATTTACATTTAAAAAATATAAAATTTGCATTTATAAAATGTTTAATAAATACACTGCTGGCCATTAAAATTGCAACACCAGGAAGGAATGATCGTACGAATGTCAAAATCACATGAAAGGAAGAAGGGGTTGGAATATGCAAATGATTAGTATTTCAGCGTATTTAGATGACGCAGGAGAAACAAACGACATCTGAAGCACTGCATAAAAGAAACGTTGTGCAGTGGATTTCTCATTCGGAAATCGCTTTGTAAGGTCGAGGTTTCATCAGAATATTGTGTTATGCCTCAAATAAGAAGAAGAAATGCTTACCAGCAAGTGTTGGAATTCGATAGAGGCAGTATTGTTGCCCATCGAGAGTGTGGATTATCATTCCATAATATTGCCACTCGCACTGGTTGAAATCTAACCGCTGTCATGCAAATATGGAATCGATGGGTTGCTGAGGGTCTTATTGAATGGCATGCAGGATCTCAATGCCCTCCCATGACTAACGCCCAAGAGGATAGACATATTGTGAGGTCGGCGGTGCAAAACCGTACAACCACATCATGAACCATTAGTCAGGAAATGTGCTTGTTTGCGGCACGTCCAGTATCTGCTCATATGGTGCAACAACGTTTGAAGCAGCGTGGACTGTCAGCACGGCAACCATTACTTCGGCTTCCCTTGACAATGCAGCATAGAGAGAGATGACGACTCTGGTACGCCCAACGACAAAGCTGGATACAGGAGTGGCACAATGTCGTCTTTTCAGATGAGTCCCTGTTCTGCTTGCAACATTCTGATGGCTGTATACATGTCTGGAGGCTCCGAGGAGATTGCTCGTCACCTGCTTGTATTCGATATTGGCATAGGGGCCCTGCACCTGGTGTGATGATATGGGCAGCCATTGGGTACATGACACGCACATCTCTAGTTCGGATCGACGGTAATTTGAACACAGATCAGTACATTTCTGACATCTTACATCCAGTGGTTGTGCCCTATCTTTGAGGCCTGTGAAACGCCATCTTCCAACAAGATAATGCAAGACTTCATGTTGCATGTCATGTTCTGACCTTCCTCGATACAGAGGGTATTTGATTGTTGCCCTGATCTGCATGGTCTCCAGATCTCTCACCAATTGAAAACATCTGGTCATGGGTTGCTGAGAGACTGACCCGCCACCCCTCTCCTGCTAATACAGTCAATGAAGCATAGCATAGATTTGAAGCAGCATGGAACAAGTTGCCCATTTCTGTCATCCAAGCCCAGTTTGACTCNAAAGATTTTATAATTCCATTTTTTAGACAGTACTCTGACACTTCATATCAAAACATTGGCAGACTGATGGTAACATTTTCTCCCTTGTATAATGGAATGCATTAAGAAACAGAAACTTTTGAAGAACTAAACACAAAAGCAGAATAAATCAAATGAGTTGTGTGTTGAAAATCTGGAAAACACACTAAGAAACCAATCAATAGATAGCATAATTGATAATATTGCCTGCCTAGCTTACAATAGCAGTAGTTAAATACTATATTCCATATCTTTTCTTCTGGATTTTTCTAAATTAATCAATCGTTAAATTTAGTACAAGATGGCTCTTATCACTTCTAAATTAAAATTGTGTAAATTATCAAATAAGTTATTCACAATATTTCTATGATGATTGAAGTAATAACAAAATATTTCTGTTTTATTTGATTATAATACTATTTTAAATGGAATAAATAATCATTATACTGTTTTAAAAATTACCATAAACTTTTAATTATTACAGCAATTATATGTATATATACAGTATGTTTTTGATAGATAAAAAATAATTGAATTGTTTTTGGTTTACATTACAAGACACGTTGAGGAGCCACGAACTTTCTTCCTGTCATCATCACTATCATAATCGTCGTCATCATCGTCATCACTATCATCAACTGCAATATTTAAATCAATAATAATGTACAAAATTGTTCCTGTCTTAGAAAGTTTAGTATGAAATACTCAATAAACAATTTTTGATATGATACTACTTCAGCAGTTATTGATTTCTTTGTTTCTCTCTCTCCTTATCTATTTGCTCTAGAAAAATACTATGAATTAAAAATTAATGGATACAGATAATTCATTTTTTTAAAGAAACAGACAATAATCGTCATCAATTAATGAAAATTCAATAGATGTTTGTAGTTATCATAGCTGATTGTTTATTGATCAATTAATATTAAGTTCAATATAAATTGGTTTTTTTATATTACATTTATAAAATTTTATTTATATTTTAAATCATTATATAACGATATGGAAAAACTCTACATTAAAATTTCATACAAGGAATATTTACAAATTAATTAATAAAGCTGATGATTCATTCACTATCATTGTCTCAGCATTTGAAATTCAAGCAATTACCATTCATACTTTATACAAATAAAAAACTGAATTATTTGTATCTGTTAGTTTATGGTATTTTTTTAGAGCAAAAAGATAAGGAGATAGAGAAACAAAGAAATACATAGTAAATAATTTTAATGAAGAGTTATACAATTGAAACCATTATTGCCTTATATGCAACCTAAAATGCATTTTGGCTCCTGGTATTAAATGACCCTCATTAGTTAGGTGATCATATAATATACATAAGGCAGCAAATATTTAACAGTGTTACAAGACTCACACAAACAGC